TCATGGAAAAATGTAAATCCAGATTCTTCGTAATGCTTTCATTGCAGAAAACTTCAGCCCAAACTTGAACATTGATTTAGAAATCAGCAAGGTTTTATGATGATGGAAGTCGTCCTTGTTTAAAGTCATCTTGTTTTATAGGAAGCTTGAAATTCAAAAACTGTGAAAAGATCATGGATGGATACTCTGAAAGCTCAGGAAAAGTGTACTATTCGCATGAAGTTTTTTTTTTCCCCAAAAGAAAATACCTTCACACGGGGTTCAATGACGGGAAAAATTCAACGTTTCGGGGGAACAAAAAACCAGCACCCTCACAGGGCTGCATTTTAGCTGCATTTCGTGCAAAAAAAAAAAGGCTTTTTGGGATTCTCATTTGGAAAATCAAACTAAAAAAGAGCGCACTTTTGGAGGAAATTCTAGAAAGGTTGTTTCTGTTGTAAAATTCTTGCTTTTAGAGGACTTGCTTTCCGGGGGGAAAAAATGGGGTTTTTTTGTTGGGAAAAAAACAAGGGCAATTTCCTGGGGATTCATAGAACTGTTAGCAAAATTCGACCTTTTTACAAATCATGTGTCAGCCTTGGGGAATGCGGAAAAGGCATGTTCTTACTGTATCTACTAAGCAATGAATTTTTAAACTGATGAAAAAAGGCCTCAATAACATCATAGCAGCTGTAAAAACTGAAAAATTATTTTGAAAATAATGAGTTTTAACCCAGATATTTCACATAAGTAAATTGCATTCATTTGTTCGCTTTGTCGACTCCAGGTAAACCCTGTAGAGCGCTTTAAAAAATTATTCCTCTTTCGGGCCATGATTGGAAAAAATTTAGAATGTATACGGGATCTTTTTGAAAAGATCTCCTTTTAGGGTTTGCCGGGCCCCAGAGCTAGACATCAAGTAAAATGTGGGGTAAATTAAGGGATTGCAACCCCGTATCAAGCAAATCAACCCACTTGTGAATTTTTGCCCTGCTAGCACATTCTTTAATTTTGTTGGGTCAGGGCTGCGGAGTGTTTGTCGCGATTTTCTTTTTTGGTTTTTTAAAGCATTTTTTTAAATTTTTTCTCTGCAAGCATCGGTGGATAACTAAGTCAACCTTTCATGGAGATGCATAAAAATTTATCAACAACAAGGTGGCAGCGCAGTTGATGAACACTGCTTTGAAAACAGCTTTGTGAAATCTTCTGCTTTGTACAAATAAAGGAAAAATAAAACAAACCAAGAAGCGAACGCCCTTACATCAAAATTGTTTGAATTGCCCTTACTTGTGTGTTTTGGGCTGTTTACTGAACGGTTAAATGCCAAACAAGACACTTAAAAAAATTGAAATTAAAATGGTCTTGGCTAACCTTATGAGGCTTTGGAATTTGTAAGCTCATTCGCAATGATGAAGCTTTTGAAATTTTGAAGAGAAAGCTAAACTGCTGGTAAAAAGACAAGTTCCCGGGCTGATCATCAGGGGGTAAGGAAAAAGAAACGCAATTTTGAAGAGCCAGACAATGAAATTTTGTGTTGTACCAAGGCAGAAATGAAAACACTACATACTTCGTCTTTTGGATTCCTTTTTCAAATTGGTAAAAAGAGAAGAAATCTACCAAAATTCAATAAAATTTTGGTTTTTCCTTTCAAAATTTACATGCCAGATGAGTTTGAGAGAACCCGCTTAAGTTGCAACAACACCTTTCAGAATGTTCAGGAAATTTGTTGAAAAAATAGTTCATTTTTCTGGGTATATAAATCAAAAAAAGCCCCCCTGAAAAATGTGGCCCCTCAGGTTTTAAAAATTTTTAAAGAATGCAGGTATCTCAAAAACCCTTTCCCTAATTTTAATATGTTCGCCCTTTTCTTATTAAAAAACCTTTCCCTAAAACTGTGAAAGGGAAGCATTTTTGTTTTGAAAAATGAAAAACCCGCTCCGTTCAACAATGAGCCGACAAATTGGTAACCTAGCCTTGTTGACCCTTTAGTTGATCTAACAAAAAATTTGATTTTCAGAAATAAAATTTTGTTTTTTCCAATATGAACCCGAAAAAAAATTTATTTAGAAGTGCCTGTGAAAATTTCATTTTTTTTACTTTCTTGAGTTTTATGATTTTTAGTCTTTGCATTGAATGAAAACAAAAAATGGTCAGGGTTTATAAGGGGAAAAATTTTTGGGTGTGTGGTTATCGATATAATGGGACAGATGCACTTTTATGCTAATTAGTAATATAGCTGTCTTGATTTATTCTCTTTAAAATGCATATTTAAAAAAATGTTATAAAGGGGTGTTGGTAAATGGTTTTGGGTTTTCTTGATTTCTTTCCCTTTTTAAATTTAAATTTAAAAAGCCAGAATGTATTTAAATTTAACCTTAAACAGGCTCACACGACCCCCACCCCCCCCCTGCTGGAAGGGGGCGCTTCGCTTCCCGTAACTCAAAGGGGCCCACCCGGGCCCGGAGACTTCTTAACCCGGCCCTGCACACATTTTGGGGAAGCGAGAGCGTTGCCTCCAGGCCCCGGGGGGTGGACTTTTTTGGTTTTCTAAACCTTTCGCTCGGTTAACACCAGTCAAATTCGTCACGCTGAACTTTAGAGTGACAAAAAAACCCCCTTTTTGTTATTTTGAGGTTAGACGTTCAAATTCATTAATTTTTTCCATGTTGGCAAGATTTTAGGGTGGGGTTGAAATTAGGCACCTTTATGTTATGTTACATGCTATTGTAAGATCTAAAATAATTCCCCCACCACCTGCTTCGGTGAACACAATCGGCACTGAAGAGGTCGCGGGGGGAGCGGGAGGTGCCACCGTGACATACGTGATTACAAATCAGCAACAGCACTTTTTCTTTACGTTTTTTTTAAGATTTTTTATCACTATTTCAATTAAGCCCCTTACAACATTACTTTTTTTAAAGCCCTGTTTTTTGTTTATGAGACATACAGATAGGGAACGGGAAAAATTTAAAACCACTTTGGCCAGCGGGTTTCTCTCAAACATTTGTGCTAAATTTTTTTTTTCAGTGGCGTTTCTCTGGCAGGGTGAAGGGTCTTGTTCAAGGAGCTGGAGCTATTTCCCCCGGGTGAAAAATACTGATTATTCCTCATTCCCACATGTAAGGGGCTGTATATGACCCTTTCTACTTTTCACTTTTCCCCCGATGTAATATTCATAAACTGAAAGGTTACTCCGAAAACGTTTATTTTCTTTTTCTTTTTCTAGCGGAACAGTAAAAACATCGTTTTTTAAAAACAGCTTAGGAAGACAATTTTTTCAAATTGCGATAATTCTTGTGGTGATATTTAAAGGTAATATGACGTGGACTCAGCATTATTCCCTAATTTTTTTACTAAAAATTTATTAACTTTGCAAAAAATTCTTTTAAACTTTTTGTTTTTTTTTGAAAAAAACTTTTTAAACTCTTCCCAATAAATGCTGTTCCCTTTTGGTGGAGCAGTGCCTTGATCCGAGGGTTTAAAAAACCTTTGGATTTACCGACTTCCCTTTGGGGTTTTGGCTTTTCAAAATTTAATTTTATTTTCTTTATTTTTTATTTATTTAAATACCCCTTTTTTTAATTGAATACGAAGGTTAATTTTTTTTTATACTTTTTTACATAGTTTTTGCATATTGTTGTTATATAGAAATAGAAATGGAAATAAATAGTATAAATACCCAAGAATGGGAAAAAAAAAACACATATGTAGTAAATGGGATCCTTTATTGCAACGTTTCGCCCCAAAGTGGGCTTTATAAGTCAAAACAATCTACCTGGGTTGAAGTACGTGAAAATTTGTAGGGTGAAGTCAGGTTTGGGAAAGCTGGGTAGGTGGAGATGCTGCATGTGATTTATCTATAAATCCACGGCCCTTCCACCCCGGCAAATTAGCCTCCGGCTACGGCCTTGGCGAACATTATACTACACCAAAGGGGAAACGTTTCAGAACAAAAAATGAAGAAGAATTTCAGAAAATAATCTTAGCAAAAATATTTAACCAAGGGGGGAAAAACCATTGTTTTTAGTCTTGTGTTTCCCAAACCCTAGAGTCAACAACATTTTCCTCCTCCCGCCGTTGATAAAAAAACAATCTCGTCATTTCACGTGGGAATGATGGTTTCCCCTGGGAAATCTCATAACTAGCGCACTGGGGGAAACATTTTTTTAAAAAAATAAATCGCTTTTCTTGAACTTTTTGCCGCGAAAAGTTTTAGTCCAGGGGGTTCCCGGGTGTGGCGCACAGAAAACCCCAGATATTATGAAAGTACTCGTAAGTGAATTCGGGCGGGGGCCTCGCAAGACCCAAGGGTACTGTAATGTGTAAAGGGGGACAGAGATAAAGGGAAACTACGGTCTAGAACTGTTTTACCAAAAAACGACGATTTTCCTTTTTCCTCGGTCCATGATACCCCCTGTTCACACGGCCCCTTTCGCGGCCTCTTGGCCTGTTCTTCAGGAAGTTTCGATGGCCAGTATCGAAAAAACAAAGTACAGGGCTGACGACACTAAAGAGGGAACAAATTGGGTTAAAGCAAGATTTTGTAGAAAAGTTGTCTGGAAAAACATACGCAAATTTTTTTGGGGGTTTTTTTTAAAAGACCAATTTGCAATAAAGGTACCGTCCCTTATCATAACTGAAGTAAGGTACCAGAACATGACCCAGGTGAGTGTAATGGCCCCCCACCCCCCTCCCTGTGAAAGTAAACTTGTACCGATAGCCCGCTGGGTTTTCACCAGCCCTCCAAAAATTAGCAGGGGGAAAATGTCAAAAAAACAATGGGCACTGATAAACAGGGAGGTGGGGAAAAGAATGAATCCCCTTTAATAACTATTTTGGGGGAAAAATGTATGGTTTTCTAGATTGGACCCCAATTATCTCCATCGAAATAAAAGTTTTGGGTTTAAAAAAGGGTTCACTGGGAACAAAAAGGGGGAAAACACGAAAGAGGGCCCGAGTAAGTCTGAGACGGCGAGGGAGGTACGGAGCATTTGGCCTTTTCCCCGAGTGGCCCATCACCATCACACCCAAAACCTCAGGGTTCCTTCCACCATCACCGCCACGCACACCACCATCACCATCAACACCACCTCTCCTACCTGACACGACAGCGGTAGATAACTCCATGCTCTGTTCAACCCGTGCTCTTCTGGGTTACCAAACCATCCCACAGTGTAAATAGGATAGCAGCAAGGCCAGTGCACGTTTTGCGTGATGTATGATGTTTCGTTCTCGAAAAACAGTAAGCGGTTGTTTTCATCGATGCATGTAGTGCCATTTATCAGTTCAAGAAAATTAGTTACGCGGAAACCAAGCCCGGCAATTTCATCATCAAAGAATGTATAAATTCCATAGCAAATTTGACGAACACATTCTGTCTTTCCAATCATAAAATTGTCCATAACTATTACCCAATAATCATATTGCAGAACTGATGCCAGTGGACACTGCTTGGAATGGAAAAATGCAAAACTTTATTCTCCTCTGGCACAAAGTAAAATTTCTCATTTGTACATGTTTCAAATTTTATAAACATAGTAGGCAAAAGTTAATGTAATCGTCATCGTATATAAATTTATTACAATAGTTTGATTTTCTATATCAATTGTGTATTCGACATAATCTGCTTCACCACCATATATCACGGAGTAGATATAATTACATAAATACAGAGTTGTATTAAATGGGATAACATATTTGCCTTCACATTCAGCATCTGAGTGGCCATGGAACGACGGTGAGAACACAGTGGGAGGATGGTCGCACAAGACCATATTGTCATCAACATGATTCATGTTGGAAGATGGATTTTTGGTGAATATTTCTGAGAGAGATTCATTAAAAGTAGAGGCGGTATGTCCGCCTTGGCTAACAACTGCTTGGCTGACTTCATGCTGGTTGTCAGGGATAGTGTGATCTCTGTTGTCGATTACTGCGAAGTTGGCATCATAGCTGAAGCTTGCGGTAATATGGTTTCTGTTGCCGGTAACTGCTTGCGTGTGGTGGGTGTGAGCGGTAGCATGGTCGCTGTTGCTGGTAACTGCCTTGGTGTCATGGTAGGTGAGCCTGGTGTGGCCCTGAGATGTGTGTAGCGTCGAGTCATCTTCCGCCCCTGCCGGCTGGAGTTGCCACAACACAAAAAGCAGCAGCCACAAGACAGAACTCAGGCCCCTGCAGATGAACCAGTAAGCCATCACTATCTGCAGAGAAACAGAAAGCTTTGTTACTCACAAAATCGAAAAAGACACGTTTGCAAAAAACCTACCCTTGCGGGGTTTTAAACCCGGGCCGGGGGTATTTTTGAAAGCTTTGTTTAAAGGAAAATTCCTACATAAATACACATTTAATTATAAAGCTTTTTCTCTTAACTAACCATTTTAAGATGTAATGATAGTATTCCCTGCGCTGTGCTGTCATGGTTGTTTGGTTTTTTGTTTTTTGGCAAACTGGTGTTTACTGTTCAAACAAGCTGTTATTTTTCCTCTTTATGGCTCAGAAATTAGCTTATCAGGGGCTTTAGAGTCAAATTTTTGGGTGAGTTTAGCGACCCCAAAAACACACCGCCCTTTTTCCTAAAAAAACAGGAACCACCCTCACACTTACACTACATCACACCAACACAACACAACACACACACAACACCACACACCCACACACCACACACACACACAACACACACACACGCACCACGCACCAAAACGCACACACCACACCCCACACACCACACACAACCCACCCACACACGACACACGCACACACACAACACACCACACACGCCCACGACACACGACACACACACACACAACCCCCACCCCCAAAAAAACCCCACACCACAACAGCACACAACACACCACAACACACACACACACACAACACACACCAACAACACACCCACGCAAACACACACACACACACACACCACCACACACACCACCCGCACCCACACAAAACACCACACCACACACACACACAGAGTGACCTAGTAGCGATCAGTGAAAAGGCGGGGCCCCGGAGTCGGGCTCGACCCCGAAACCCCAAAATAGGTGAGTACAACTAGGGGTCATGCACCCACACAAACAGGCCCAGTGTCTAATCGCCCTGTGCCCCAGGACAAAAAGGTAATAAAGTTTCCCTCTTTCAACTGGTATGAGATTTGAGGGAAAAACAGAGGGGAAAGGGGGGGGGGGTGGGGGTGTGTGGAATGGGATGCTCAAAAAAACCAATGGGATTTTGAAGAACTGAAGGGAGGAGACAGAGTAGGAGCAAGAGACTACATAATAGGAACACTTCAAACTGAAGGTTCCAAGGTTGTGATTGCAATGATGTATAACCCACCACAGAACAGCGGGAGGCCAAGGCAAGAATATGATGAGAGTAACAGAGAGATGGATGACACACTGGCTGAAGTGGCCAGAAGGGCCCATATGGGCAGGGCAAAGCTACTGGTTTTGGGGTAACTTCCATCACAGAAAAAAAAAATGACTGGAAAAACTTGGAGCCTGTGGGAACCCAGAAACGTAGAGAGCTAAGATGTTGGAAGTGATAGTGGAAGATCTCATGCATCAACATGTTAGGGACACCGCCAGAGAGAGGAGAGAGGATGAACCAGCAAGACTGGACCTAATATTCACCTTGAGTTGTGCAGATACTGAGGACATCACATATGAAAGGCCCCTCGGAGCTAGTGATTACGTGGTTCTAATCTTTGAATACTTAGTAGAGTTACAAGTGGAGAGGGAGGTAGGAAGATTATTATTATTATTATAATCAAGGGGGAAGCGCTAAACCCGGAGGATTATACAGCGCCTGGGGGGGGGGATGTGAAAGGCATTCAGGCTTAATTCGGGGAACTGGAGCACAGATCCAATTCCCTAAATCAAGAGCCCCTCACCAACATCAAGGAACCTTCCTTGAGTGGGGAGGTAGGAAGAGCAGGACGAATGAAGCCAAACTACAAGAGAAGGGAACTACACAGGCATGAGAAATTTCCTGCACGAGGCTCAGTGGAACAGAGAACTGGCAGGAAATCAGTAAATGAAATGATGGAATATGTGAAAATATTATGTAAGAAAGCGGAGGAGAGGTTTCTGCCCAAGGGCAACATACATAATGAAAAGGCCAGGACCAGCCCTTGGTTTACCCAAAGTTATAGAGATGCTGAAACTAAGTGCACTAGAGAATGGAAGAAGTACAGAAGGCAAAGGACACAAGAGAATAAGGAGAATAGCCGAAGACCAAGAAATGAATATGCACAGGTAAGAAGGGAGGCCCAACGACAATACGAAAATGACATAGCAGTGAAAGCCGAGTCTGACCCTAAACTTTTGTCCAGTCACATCAGGAAGAAAATAACAGTCAAAGACCAGGCAATCAGGCTGAGGAAGGAAGGAGGGGAGTTGATTTTGATGTATGTAAGGAGCTCAACATGGGATTCAAAGAAGTATTCACAGTGGAGACGGAAAGAACTCCAGACAGACGGAGAGGCAGGATTCACCAGCAAGTGCTGAACACGATATATACATCCGAGGAAGAGGTAAAGAGGCTGCTATGCGAACTAGATACCTCCAAAGCGATGGGGTCGGATAACATCTCTCTGTGGGTCCTGAGAGAGGTTTAGTTTAATATGTTTATTATGCACCCCATACCCATCCTGTGGGCGGTAGTCAAAAGATTACAGAGGTGCATAATTGGTCCAGGGACTGGACTCCAAAGTTCTGATAGCTGAGCAAGTTACAGAGGTAATGAACTCACAACCTACAAAGGTAATGAACTCACAATTTACAAAGGTAATGAACTCCAGGTAGGTCTGGTCATAATCATGACAAGTTACAAAGGTATTTACAGATTACAGAGGTACGTAATGGGTCCAGGGACTGGGCCCCCAATGTTTTGATAGCTGAACTAGGTACAAAGGTAATGAGCTCACAAGTTACAAAGGTAATGAATTCTGTAAGAATGGTTACTTACGTTTATACATGGCAACAATCATGAACAAATTATTGTGTAATGAGAAATTCACACTTCCACACCCGGTCACAAGTGTGAATTGCTCATTACACTATAATTTGTTCATGATTGTTGCCATGTATAAACGTAAGTAACCATTCTTACAGAATTCATTACCTTTGTAACTTGTGAGCTCATTACCTTTGTATCTAGTTCAGCTATCAAAACTTTGGGGGCCCAGTCCCTGGACCCATTACGTACCTCTGTAATCTGTAAATACCTTTGTAACTTGTCATGATTGTGACCAGACCTACCTGGAGTTCATTACCTTTGTAAATTGTGAGTTACCACTAACAATAATCTTCAACACATCTATCGAAACAGGGCGACTGCGTGATGTATGGAAGATAGCAACGTAATCTCAGTTTTTTTTTAAATGAGACAGACACGCAGAACTGAACTACAGACCAGTGTCACTGGCATGTATTGTATGCAAAATCATGGAGATTATCAGAAGAGTGGTGGACCACCTAGAAAGGAATGCGCTAATAAACGACAACCAGCACGGATTTAGAGACGGGAAATCCTGTGTCACAAACCTACTGGAGTTCTATAAGAAGGTGACAGTAGTAAGACAAGAGAGAGAAGGGTGAGTATGATGCATTTTCTTTGATTGTTAGAAGGCTTTTAACACAGTTCCGCATAAGAGATTAGTACAATAGTTGGAGGACCAGGGAGATATAACAGGGAAGGCACTGCATTAGATCAAACAATACCTGACGGGAATGCATCAACAAGTCATGGTACGTGATGAGGTGTCAGATTTGGCGACTGTCACGAGCGGGGTTCACAGGGGTCAGCCTTATACCGGTGCTGTTTCTGGTATATGTGAATGATATGACAGAGGAAATAGACTCAGAGTTGTCCCTGTTTGCAGACGATATGAAGTTAATGAGGATAATTCAGTCGGAGGAGGATAAGGCAGTACTACAGAGGGATCTGGACAGGCTACAGGCCTGGTCCAGTAACTGGCTTCTGAAGTTTAACCCCACCAAGTACAAAGTCATGAAGATCGGGGAAGGGTAAAGAAGACTGCAGACAGAATGCAGTCTAGGGGGCCAAAGACTACAAACCTCGCTTAAGGAAAAGGTTCTTGGG